AGCGTAGGTAATGCTTCTTTTACATTCCGCTCTGTCTGGCACAGGGCTGAGTTCCATAAACATCTGTTGAGCAACAGGTTGAAACCCAAAGAAAAGCCCTCATGGTCTGTGCTGACCTACACTAGCCCGGCTCCCAGAAACAGAAAGGACACAGGATGCCGGATACTGGTCGGGGCCTGAGCCTGGGCACATGTTCAATTAGATCAGTAATTTTCTGCTGAGACAAAGAAATGCGCTGCTAGTATTTTATTCCTTCGGGAAGCACCTCTTGAGACTTAGCTTTTAGTAATTAGTAAGGCAAGTGGTAGGGGGACCCCAACTTCCCATCGCCCATACCTATCAACAAAGCGACTTGTTCTCTAAAAGCAGGAGCTGCAGCTTTGATTCTCTGCCAAATAAATGCTAAGTAATCAGCCATCAGCTTTACAGAAAGCACAAAGGAGAAAGCCAGTAAATGCCAGCTTTCCCAGAACAACTGGCCGTGTCAGAGAGGTAGGGCCCGTGAGGGTGAAGTTTGAAAAGTGCTGTCAGTCAGGATACTCTGACTGGTGTTCAGGTCCAACCCAGAAGGGGTGGTGGGCCTGCGCTGCTGAGCCAGGGGAGAGCTGCTCCCTGCTCCCTGCTCCCTGCTCCCTGCTCCCTGCACCCTGCTCCCTGCTCCCTGCTCCCTGCTCCCTGCTCCCCGCTCCCTGCTCCCCGCTCCCTGCTCCCTGCCCTGAGTTACAGACGGAGAAGACAGAAGGTCGGTGTTTGTCTTCACAGCTCAGACATTCCAAAGTGAAGTCTCCTTTGTCTGGATGCGAGTCTTAGATATTTCATAATGAACAAAAATTAAGCAAAAACAAAGGTAAACAAAAATGCCAATACCTTCCCACACCAATAAGACAAGATACCCGAGTTCCTGGGTCCAGGGTCTCCAACCAATACCTGGCTGCAGTGCAAACAAGACAGGTAATACACTGCTGGTGGGCTCAGGTAGCTTAGGATACTGTTTACACCACGGATTCATGGGAGGAAGAAAATATAAACGCATCGACACAGATATTTCAGATTCAAAGGATGTGAGAACTTGGCACAGGTGATGCCAGGCTATGGTTTCAATGAACTATTTATCTTCGGCGTTGGGGAGGGGTGTTTGTCCTGTAACTACAGGCCAGAGAGTTCACACTCCGGGAGCCAGCTGGCTTTCCCATCCGTTTCCATCTACCAGAGAGGCCCTTGACCTGAGGATGCCATCAAAGACTACAACACAGGTTATTATTGTCACTATTAGTATTTTTTGAATCCACCCTGCATATTAGTAAAATGGTGAAGGCAGATAGGAGATTGTTATAGGAACATGAACCATCTTTCTGGAATCTCTATTTCAGAAGCCCCAAAGGGATATAAGTTCTTTAAAAAAAAATCAAACCCGGGAATCTCCCCGGCCAGGGTTGGGGCTGAGGCTGAGGATAAGGCGTCACCCAAAAGAGCCCCGGGGTTCACAGAGCTCTGGGCCTCTGAAGCGCGCCTCCTTCGGCAGCAGGAGCCACAGTGCCTGCCCGCAGGCCCCAAGGCGGCGAGGCGCGGGGTCACAGCCGGCTCGGCCTCGCTCTGCCCTGGGCCCTCCCTCTGCCCAACCCCCGAGCCACCGGAGCTGCCCCTGGGCTCCCGG